TAGCCTTGTCAGTAGTCTGGTATGGAAAGAATGCCATCCAACAAAAGCCCGGTTAAAAGGTTGGAAAATTGGCCTTATGATAAAGAGACGGTTGAGGTTTATGGTTTTCCCGAAGGTACAACCTAGAAGTCGCCTCGAAACGGGTGTAATGTGTGTTTGTGCTCACCTTTTCCTTAATCAACGTGATCGCCTCCTTCCAGGATGACGTGCGCACGGTTGGGACCTCGGCCAGCTCGGTTTTGCTCGTTGCCAGCTGAAGAGAGAAGGGTTCAGAGGGGAAAGTCGGTACAACATTTTAACAAGTAAGCAATTAAAAACTTAAATCTGTCCAAATGTGTCGCATATTGGCTAATTTGCATACGTCGTGTTATATGAAGATGTAGACCAAGCAAGGTCTGTTGTCAAGTTTTCATTCTTCTACGAGTAATTTGTCTAACAATGCCTTATTACAAACACACATCTCCACTCTAATTAACAGTTTTGCACTATACAATGTATCACTTTCGTGTGTGAAATTCTACCTGCACCATATTTGCAAGCTGGCTCAGTCCAATCTGCCGCATTGACGCAGGCTACACTTTGAGAAAGCGTCAACAACCGGAGTCGCCTTATCCACCTGCAACAAGTCCTCTTTCCTTTCCTGTTTAGTAACCTTAAATCAGTAATTTTCATCAACTCGGGTTGTATTACTCAAATGGCAATAGTAGCCTATTTTTCGTTTTCTCCCCTTCAGCTCGGCCGGACCACTTCTCGGGTTGAAAGTAGCTAATCTCGTCTCAAAACGGTACATCCGAATTCACTTTCACCAAATTTGTTATCGCGCCTTTTGGGGGGATTAGAAGGCAGAACTTTCTGCTTTTCAGGCAATCGGGCCACACTCAAGTGGAATTCACTTGGCCAAGCCGGATTCCGCTCGACCAAACTAGACTTCCTAACCTCCAGTTGTGCACCCAACAACACAATGGACACCATTTTACATGTTGCTAGGCCTGCAACTGGAGATGAAAGTAACCCACACAATCCATATAATTGAAATCGACTCTACTCTACTCCACTCCACTCCATTCCACTCATTTCCACCCAACCACAGTTCACTCCACTCGCAGCCATTCCATTCCACTCCTCTATGCTTCATACCACTCCACTTTGCTTCAGATCACTACAACATCTCGTTACACCACACTGAACTAGACTACTTTCCACCCCATTACACTTCACGACATTGTTCTTACAAAGTGAGCATACACTTTACTCTACTACTCTACCCCATACTATACTACTCTGGGCCACACACATTCTATCGCACCCAGTACACCTATTTGACTCCATTATACTACACTACAATGAACTTCAATAACCTAAACTATATTACAATTACAACACTATACCACACTCTACTCCACCTTACTCCACAGCATTATACTATGCTATACTGCACTACACTCACTTTCATTCCACCCCACAACCCAACACAATTTCCCATACTAAACTAGACTAAACTTGCTCTATTACACTACACTCCACGACAATACAATAGAATACACTAAAGTTCACTTCACTCCACTCAACTCTATAACGTTACTTTAAACTACACTTCATCACACTAAGCTACATTACAACGGGAGGTGATAAGAGAGGAGAGAGAAGAAATGAATACTGATCTATATGATACATATATATATCACATCATATCATATCATATATCTACATATCAGTATTCATTCCTCCTTATTCCTCTATTATCACCTCATGCTGTAATGTAGCTTAGTGTGATGAAGTGTAGCGCTGGTTGACCCCACTTTTTCTGGGTTCGGAAAGTAAGTCTGAAGGAGCCTTTACTACTTTTATTCGCTTTTTACACTCTGTCTCACCCTAAAAGCAATCTAGATAGCTATTCCGCCATCCCTAATAAACATAATTTTCTCTTCTTTTTCAATTGTTCCAATTTCGTTATAGTTTTGGATAAGGCGATACTTTAGGAACCATAATTTGGTCCAGGTTTGACATAAGAATTGGCTTTTGACATGTTTGGTCGGCTCAACTTGATTGCAAACAACAAAGTTTCTCTGCGCCTTAATGTGAATACTCGTTTTATAGGTGGAACACAAAAAAAAACAATCAAACCCGATTCAACTTTTAACTAATAAGGCTGTTGAGAATTGCAAAATAAACTATTCCTCAACAACAACCGTTTAAATAAGCCCAGAAGCAGATTTAAACCTTCATCGGAACTCCTCATCAACCACGATCCCAATGGGAACTTGACAGCGAAAGGTGATCCAACATAATACTTCCATGAAGTATTTTAAGACAACTCACTAGATTGTCGACTATGTTTCTCAAGTATTCTTGCACATATCATCTACAATATTGCATCGTCTGATTGTCGGAGTGTTATTATGCTACTGTATCTACTCACTATAAATCAGTAGTCTCTTAATAGGTCAATTCTAATAGTCACCTACCGGCTGGTGTCGGTGTGTGTATGCGGCTTTCGGGGCTATCACCACAGCCTGAGCTGCTTTATGTGCTACAAATGACATTTTCGATTAGACGAACATGCATTTATTTGATGAATTCCTTGACATAACATTGTTGTAAAGTTGTCCCGTGATTCGGTTGATTTGCGTTGTTTTAGCGCCGTTTCGTGTTAGCACGAGCTTCAGATGAAAGTGGGTTGAGATGACGTGCTTCGTACGAGATGAAAGTCACGCTAAAATGCATTTTTGTGTTAAACTCGACCATGCTACTCATCAACGCTGTGAGTAGGCCTGCCAGTTGAGACAAATAAGAACGAGCGAGAAAAGGAAAGCCTACTTCGTAACTTGATGTTCTGTGCAGGCTCTTGGTGGACGGACTGGGCTGTTTGACGAGCGATCGAGTGGCGGTGATCGCGTGCAGACTGTTCGGCGAGGCCTGGCTGGCGCTCGAGTAGCCGCTGAGTCCGGCCACGAGGAAGCCGACCGGCGCGCCGGCCGACACGCCGACGGTCGCCGAGGCCGGCGAGGCCGTCGCGTAGACGAAAGCGCCGCCGAGTCCGGCGCCGGGTCCGCCAGGTCCGCCGGGTCCGCCGGGACCGCCGGGACCGGCGCTGCCGCCGCTGCCGTTGCTGCCGATGCTGGCCATGCTGGCGTAGCTGGTGGTCGAGTCGTGCGACTCGCTCGACCGTTGGTGCACCAACAACTGACCACTCGACGACAGTCCGCTCGTCCAATTGACGCCCGTCTCCGGCGCCGGCTCGAGTCCCGCCGCTTCGCCCAGTTCCCCACCGGCCCCCGCAGCGGCAGTCGTCGACGTCCAGACCAATCCGGGCGGAGAGAGCAGTTGCGTCTGGCTGCTCGTCTGCCGGCTCGTCAACCAGCTCGGCCCAGACCCGGACCCGGACCCGGACCCGGAACCGGAACCGGACCCGGACCCGGAACCGGGTTTCATCAATTTCGGGTGTCGCCGAAACCCGGGAACCGAGAGACCCTGTCGACAGGTCTCCGACGTCACGGAGCTGCCGCCGCCGCCGCCGCCGCCACCAGATCCGAGCTCTGCGAACCCGGCAACACCGGTTGAAGGACTTGCGCCTCCGCTATCTCCGCCGCTGCTGGCGCTGGGTGGGTAGGCGCCCAGGCAGATGCGACCCAGCGACACGGGCAGACTGCTCGGCTCGTGGATGGCCGGAGGTATTGGAGAACCGAGACGTCCTTGGCTCGGCGCCATCTTGTCTGCCTGTATGGCACAGTTGGGGTGAATGTATACGAAGAAAAGTTGGGTTTCGAGCAATCTCTTGTTTCATAATTGTTGGGATTACTTCCATTTCGAGT